GGAGAAAAAGAACACAAAATACAATTTCCAACCATCACTCTCCAAATAAAATGGCTGGTTCAAAACCTACAGCTAAAGGAGGCAGGGAGTACTAAATGACATTTCAGTCTTTTAGGGAAAACAGAACACAAAGAGTCAGTAATAGCTTACAGAAAACACGACGGCAAATCTTGGTCAAACATGCAGCCTGTTTACATATGCCCAACCGTTTCAATCTCGGTGCACAGAGTGTAACCCAACATGGTGCCTTAGACTCATTGCTTTTCATTTGTTCTGTCAAATCTTTTACTAACACATTTAGAATCTACTGTTTTTTTTTATCATTCTTCTTTTCTTCAACATCTTGTTACCATTCTTCCTCTTTTGTACTGGATCCATAATATTTCCAAAGAGATTTCTGTCTCTTCTGTTCTACATTACAGTAGGTCTCTACCATCGTTCTCACTTCTGTTTGACGTTACATCTAATCAGGTCATTTGAATCTGTATTGGAAGTCTATTAGTTCATGATGAAGTTGCTGGTGAGCACATAAAAAGGAGACGAGAAAGGAGGAAGTGGAGGACAGGATGTAAAGACTGAGAGGAACCTCCACAGCACTGTGGGCCCACAGGCAAATTAAGGTACTGTACATGAAAGACATGGGATATTCATGGGAGTACTCTTTCAAGCAGAACAAACTAAATTCCATTCATTGTACTGTATTTAGTAGCAGTGCAAATGTCCAAAATAAATATTTAAACTTCAAAATATAAACTATCTATTCTAAAACTAGCTTCGTCTCTCAGTGTGGTTATGTGATGCCCAGAGGTTTGGATTCAGCTTACCAAACAAAATCACATCAGCACTGAAATGGCAGTTATGCTAAGTAGTGAATTAAGTACAGTCTTGAAACATTAAACTATTTCCTTGGTTAGATATGAATGAGCCAGATCAGAAAACACAAACCTACCCAGAGTGTGATCATGTGTTCTCATCAAAGGAAATGATGTACCATGTTTCTCTGTACCTTCATTCTCTTAGCTCCTTTCCACCTTTTCTGCAAATTCTTTCCGTAGCCTTCACCAACCTGGCCCCTACCACCTCCTTTTTTCATGCTGGGGAGAATTTCAGGGCTGGCTTCCCATGGAGAAGCATGATTTGTAAAAACGCAATAAAAATGGAAAGACGAGTGAGACTCGGGTGGTGGAAGGAGAGGTTGGAAGAACAGCAAAGCGAGCTCCCCTGCTGCCACAACCTGTGGTGGGGCATTAACAGGATGTCAGACCAGGTAAATCTTCATAACCTGACAGCTCTGCTACCTTGGACAGGAATTGAGTTTTCTGAGGGTATGAGCACCAAGAGGTGCTCAGAGAACTTACCAATCCCTGATAGGAGACCGTCCTCCTGTAAAAGACTAGTCGGTTGCTTGCGCCAGCAGCTTATTTCTTCTAACAATTTATGGTTAGGCAACATCTAGTGGGTGTAGTAATTATGACAAAAGCAAAAGAGGAAGTTTGGTTGACAGTATATCAAGTGACAACATCCTTGTTAGGTCTTAGAGGTATAGGGTGGGCTGGATGGATGGTCACAGGAGGTCAGTGTATGATTCCAATGTGACACACTGCACTTTTGTTTTTTTAATTTATGGCCATTCTACATTCTTTATGGCCATTAAATGCGTGTTTATTGCTGTAAGCAAGACAATGAAGGTCCTGTAACCTCATTTTAACCCAAACCAAGCAGCTCTGGACCTAAACCTAACCAAACTGCAATGTTTCCATAACCTAAACTTTGTGTTTATGATTGTTTTCATTATGACAAAAGGTGCAGTAGAGACAAGACATGTTTATTGTCGTTTACTGTAGGTTGGAGGACTTGTTGGAATGTTATAAGAGGACTGATCAATTTAAAAGAAAAGTTAAAAAAACTGCCATTTAAATTATTAGCATGGTCACAAGCTCAACCTCTGACTTGCTACAAAATAGGAAGACTTGGTAAATATACCTAGATACAGAACCACCAGCTGTAAAAGATGCACAGACATGCTGTTTGCTTTAACAGGAAGAACAAAAGTCCAATCTGAATTTGTAGCTGTTCATTAATTGCCAATGTGCTGTTTTTATCTGTCAGATATGAGAAGATAATAGAAAGGTATGGTCTTGAAGTGCTAATTTTAAGTCCAGTATAAGCCATTTAGACACCCTCTCTCTGTTTCTTTTTCTCCTTCACACACACACACACGCACACACAAAGGGAAGGACGCAGAGAGAAATGTGTTCCCAAGCAGCAGGAGAATCTTCAATTATGGAAGGATGCACCATCAATTTAAGGGCTAATTACATGCGTAATGAGCTCACCGTCATGCGTCCACGCCCACATCACCGCGTCCGTCGCTCTAACCACAATTAAAAAACTATATGCGACACGGTGCTCTCATTTGATTCACACCATGGAAATTAATCCTCGGATAAATGTGTTTGACGGACACCAAACTGCTGCACGAGCTATGGTGGCGACGCACTGCTGTGTCGGCTGGGTGTAAACTGTTTTGCATTTAGCTTTACAGAAAAAAAATAATGTGAAATAGGTCAAGACAGGTTAACTTGATGACTGGGTAAATTTCAGACATCATCAAGGCCAGTGTGCACGAACTTCGTGTAAATTCACCCTCAAGATTTTAATCCCGGATGTAAAAATTTCAGGATTAAAACATGCCTCTATAGTTAAAAGCATGTAGTCGTATTTCGTCTTCTTCATGTTTAAGTATCAAGCAAGAAACCCCTTAAAAGCAGAAAACCTCTGAAACCAAACGGTTGTGAATCCAGAACCAAATCCACCAAAACCAATGAAAAAATTTGTGTTACAAGTAAAAACATCAGCTGTGTATAGTATGACTAGAGAGTTTATATGCCGAAAAGAACAACACATGCTTTTTCATAATGCTAAGACGGCAAGGGGAGGATTTAAGGGTATTTTACTAGATAGCAGCAGCATGACTACAGCGTTAACATAGTGTTTCCAAAACACGGACACCTTGCATTTTATTTTTTCCTGAGTTGTGTTCTTTATTTTGGTAAAAGCCTAAGCCTGCACCTCTCCTTCATTTCCCCCAAATTACTAATTAAATATTTAAGTAACTGCATTTCCAATAGAGGAAAAAATGCGTTCGTCATGATAAAACGATTTATTTAGTATTTATCGAGGAAAACAAAACCAATTCTGCAGGAAAACCTCGCCCTATTTAATTCAACGTGAATATGAATAAAACCTGTGATTTTATATGTTATTAAATGTTCACAAACTGATGAAAATGACTTGTTGACTGCTTACTTTCAGCAGAAAAACGTTTTTTTCTGAAATAAAAGATTTTTTTATTTGTCCATTTTTGGTTTTATTCTGGATGATTTCCATGAATAATAAAGTTCTACAGATCTATTATTTCGTTTTTGACCTGCAGAACAACCCTCTGCTCTACAATTTAGACTAGTTTAAGTATTTATTTCAGCTTGATCCTGTTCTCTGCGCTAATGACAAGAACACAAGATCAGATATGGAAAGCGCCGTGCATACCTTGTCTTGCCAAACTGACGCCCACGGTAAGTGGCCAATCAAGAAATGACTTTCAGCGGTTCCACCCAATCAGAGCGAAGTGGGCGCATAGTGGGCGGGTTCTTAGCTGCTCCGGAGAGGGACATTGACATCGTAGAGGAGAGGAGAGGAGGCTAAGACTTGAGTGATACTCGTTGCGCGTTCTGTAATTTGGAGAGGTGTATGCAGCGCACGGCCCGTTCGCCTTTCCAGGTGGAAATCCAGAAGGAACTAGGACCAAACTTAACTGGGACAACTGGTGAACCCGGTTCAGGACAGGTGAAATTCCCAGTAGGCTGTCTGTAAGGCCACAGGATCGATTCAGGCGTAGGAAAATACAGCGAAACTCGGGTAGGACTGCTGCACATATATCTGTCTTAACACGTCTGTCAACTGTGGTTGTTAATATTATTATGTTTTAATTTTCTTAAAAAGTGAAATGTTCTGTCAGAGAGGTGAGATTATGCCACAGACGGTTCTCCCAGCGCTGTTACACACGTTTCAGTGATTGTGTTGGGTTCAAATGTCATTTCCTCGATTTTGCTGGAGTATGGAGCGTTTTATTTCTGTGATTCCCGAAGCAAGAGAAAAGCAATGTGAACTGTTTTAGTCTAGATGTTAAAGACATCTACATGTAAATCACCTCAGATACTGTTCACCTCACCAAAGCTTTGAGTACATTTTTTGACCAGAACCATAATATTGTGTTTTATAAGAAAAAGAAAACCTGTATGAATCCTTATAGCCTATGCATTTTTGATTTACAGTCAGGACATCACCTATATCGGTGAGTCAGTTGTTTAAATAGGTCTACATACGTATATTTTCTGCAAATGTAATTCCATTTAACAGTTGTTATCTTGGTTGTGTTATCAGTTGCGGCCATTGTTGCTGCTGTTAGCCGTAATGCTACTGTTAAAGTCGGGGATATCCTGGCTGTATCCCCTTCAGTAAATTCAACTTTTGTTTTGATTGATGGGTGAAGTCAGCATTATCTGACATGCACAAGGCACACAACAAAATAACACACCGGTCTTATTGTAAACATCTGGCCTCTGCAGGTCTAAATGGGAATACGGCATGGTACTGACTTCTTTCTGTGTTGTGCAGGTCATGGATGAACGCCAGCGGCTACACCTTGGAGGTTTAACTTCAGCCAGCTAAGGTCCATCAGGAATACCAGGGATATTCACTTATTTTGCAATTCAACGGTTCATATTTAATTTTCAGACTTTTTTTTTTTTAAGTTGACAAAAGCTACAATGAAAAAGAGGCAAAGTGGAGAGGAATCAGTCAGACTGCTGTTTTGAATGACCACCGCAGTCTCACACCAGGACGGATACAGTGAAAAGGCGCCGAGATGAAGGAGAAGTCCAAAACGGCCGCAAGGACTAGACGGGAAAAGGAGAACAGTGAATTTTACGAACTGGCCAAGATGCTGCCTTTACCGTCGGCCATCACCTCTCAGCTAGACAAAGCCTCAATCATCAGACTGACAACAAGTTACCTGAAGATGAGAATAGTTTTCCCTCAGGGTGAGCGATTAGCCCACTTGAACGCACCACTTTCACCTCTGCTGTGTGTTTTCTGACATTCCCATCAGCTGGGGAGAAGGCACTGACATTACGCATATGTTTTTACTATTAACATGCGAAATAATTAGAAAGAAAAATACAGCGAAACATAAAGGAGTGGGGGGACACTTTGCTTCATATAAAATCACTCTTCCACAACTTCCTTTTAACATAGTAATATCATATATAACACATATTTTAGTTCAGGTTTGTTACTTTCTTGTTCAGTGCAAATAAAATACTGATAGGCTACTAAAATATCCTAAACCCTTTTTGACCCAAACAACATTGTAGTCATGTTATGGAAGATAAAAAAAAAAAAAACAGTTCACTTAGATTTACCTGCTGTCCTACAGAAATATTATAGAAATATCATTTAGAAATTCTTGGCCGAGCTACAGGGAATCTTTACAAATGAATCGTTTTTAATTCAGTGTCCAAAGGAGACGATCCGCCACCATCTTCTGTGCACGTCTCTGCAGGAGTCTCTGATTGCGTGACTGAGAACAAGATGTGGTAATTATTAAAGAAAGAAAAAAAAAAGCTCTGCAAGTCTTTTAATCACCTAAAGCCATGTAACCAGGAGGCGCGCACACGTCTTACGCAGCCTGCCTCATGGGCTATAAGAAATAAAAATGTAATTAACGATCTCCCATGAAACCAAACCGTCATGTTTTTGCTGCTATTTATAACAGACAGGTCATATCATGCTACATGAGGTAATATAGGAAAATATAGAAAACAAATTGAGATGGAAAAGATCTGTGTTTTCGATCTTTTCTATCCTTGAGCCGATAAACGAGCCGTTCCTTCTCCACTCATCTCCTCTGATGGCGTGATATTAGTGTGCATGTCAGACAGCGGGGTCCTGTTTTCGCTTTCATTTATCAGAAGGGAGGAACAACTAATTTACTGTTGTCCAAGCTTCATGAGATTTCAGATTAATGGATTTTAATGAACCGCACTCGCTTTGCTGCACTTACACTGAAAATAGTGGCCTAATCGATTTACTGGACCAAAAAAATCCAAAGCTGGATATAAAATGTATATTTTAATAATAATAATAACAGAAATAAGGTGTTAATGTTACGTTATCTCTCCAGACTGAGAGCCTATATTACGCGTGCTACGTTTCCAGTCTTGTCCAAAATGTGAGAGACAGGAGTGGATCCTGTAAACGCTTTAACACTTTTCAACAGGCACATCTCTGACCTGAGGGTGTAATAACGACAACAATAATAACAGTGAGCACGTAACCCAAACAAAATACGTTATTAATAAATAAATAAAATAAAAAAACACGACATGTTCCGTTTCAGTGCCACAGAACAGCCCAGCATCATTCTTTCACTGTGTCCAGGTCTGGGTGAGGCCTGGGGTCATGCAAGTCGAACAAGATCCTTGGATAATATTGGACGAGAGCTGGGATCTCATTTACTGCAGGTATATTATTACTAACAGCATAATTAAATGTGAGCGATCTGCCACAGAACATATGCGCTCGGCGGTGTAAAAAAAAAAAAAAAATCCTTTTTGAGAAGTAACCTGTCGTTTGTTTGCAGACGCTGGACGGGTTCATCTTTGTTGTGGCTCCAGATGGGAAGATAATGTACATTTCAGAGACTGCATCGGTCCATTTAGGACTGTCTCAGGTCCTTTTCTGCAATCGCATTTATTCATTTCAGATTTTTTTTTCTGCATTGTATCTCATTCTGATATCCTATACTCTAAAGCTCATTTATGTTCCTTTGCAAATAGAAACATCTCGTCCATCAGGCAGTCTGTACCTATTAATTACCTGAGTTATTCTCAACAGGTAGAGTTGACTGGGAACAGTATTTATGAATATGTACATCCTGCCGACCACGACGAGATGACTGCTGTCCTGACGCCACATCAGCCCTATCACTCACATTTCGTCCAAGGTAAAACAAATCTCCTCTATAAAGATTTACATAAAATAAATGTCGTTTATTTCCGATTTAATTACAATTCACTGTCTAAAACCAGCATGTGGCTGTAATGTATGCAGAGGATATGTGTAGATATCACACAGTTGGAATATTTATGCTTTTAGTCTGCGCCAATGTGCGAGTTTTATATCGGCTCAAATTGGCCGCTTTAAAAATTTCCATGCATATATTTTTTTTTATCGCGCACAAACAATCCATTAATTTTGTTATCATTGTATACTGTTACTAAACCGTATTCATATTTGAAACAAGCCAGATTTACGCAGAATTATATCGACAGCGTGCGTGAGAGTTAAAAATATTTCCCCCTCCCTCAGAATATGAAGTGGAGCGCTCTTTCTTTTTGCGGATGAAATGTGTGTTGGCAAAAAGAAACGCAGGCCTCACCAGCGGTGGATACAAGGTAGGAGACGGCGTTTTTGTCACCGACGAGCTATTTCATTAACTTTTGTTGTAAATTAACAAAATGAATTGCAATTTGTTAACTAATAATCAATAAAATACAGCAGGTCAATATCAAATGGCTTTCCATGCTCTTCATATAGAATAATAATAATGCCACTGTGCCATATAGACTTCAGCAGAAAGTAAGAATTAGAATATTGTTAGTAATTTATATAATAACATGTCAATAATTGTGTTATATTAAAGTTTAAAAATACCTGCTATGTTAATTTTTTTTCTATGATTTGTTTGTGTTGCATATACACAACATTGTGTTTGCTTTTGTCTGGGTCTCCCCTGCCTTGTCACAGGTCATCCACTGCAGCGGCTACCTGAAGATCCGTCAGTATAGTTTGGACATGTCACCTTTCGAGGGCTGCTACCAGAATGTGGGCTTGGTGGCTGTGGGGCACTCTCTGCCACCCAGTGCTGTGACTGAGATCAAACTGCACAGTAACATGTTTATGTTCAGAGCCAGTCTGGACATGAAGCTCATCTTCCTGGACTCCAGGTGCACATTAGCCTAACGGTTTCTCTTACTGAGTTTCTAAGTTACTATAATAAATAGTTTGGTATGTGATGGTAAATATTTCTCTGGGCTTGAGTTAAGCCTATAAACTCATGTGTGCTCCAACAGTTGATCAGAAACACTTCTTCGAGGAAAAGCTGTTGCCTACAAATGCAATCAGTTCTTTTCCCCCAGGACTAGAGAGACATATGAAATAGCATTGAATCACTGAGCATATTTTTAATGTCTCTCCTTAATTCCTCTCCAGGGTAGCAGACCTGACAGGTTACGAGCCCCAGGACCTGATCGAGAAAACCCTGTACCATCACGTCCACAGCTGTGATATCTTCCACCTACGCTGTGCGCACCACCTCTGTGAGTTACAAGCCTGCTATATTAAGCTTTTACAACAGATCATCACACAGTAGCTGCTCAGAAAACATACTGCAGACACATCTTACACAAACACAAACATGCATGTTGTTAGATACGGTAATCTCTGTCTTGTGTCTGTTTGTTTTATCTCCTCCAGTGCTGGTAAAAGGCCAAGTCACCACTAAGTATTATCGTTTCCTGGCCAAGCACGGTGGCTGGGTTTGGGTCCAGAGTTACGCCACAATCGTCCACAACAGCCGATCCTCAAGGCCTCACTGTATCGTCAGTGTGAACTACGTCCTCACGTGAGTAATTCACTTGGGAATAAAAGTGATATGATGAAATTACAGGTACATAATCATTGTAACACAAGGTGTAAAGGGCTATAATGGTGTAAAAGCAGCTGCATTTTTAATGTTGTTTGATGGACAAGCAGCACCGAATATTTAACCAGATTAAGCAAAATCATGTCATACGCTCTTATTATCCATGCTTGAAGCTCATGGGTCTTTGTCTCTTGGAGAAATCCTTCCCATTATCCCTCTGTAGCCTCCTTGTACAAATCCACCAAATACTGCGGCTGCTGCAGGACTCAGGTAGTTGTGTGTTATGAGAGCACAAAGCACACTAAGGCCCTCTGAGACAGAAAGACAAACATCAGGGTTCAACCCCATCAAAAAACCTCTACTGTCACCATCACACTGCACTCTAAGGAAAGCAAAATCAATCAAATGGTGAACTAGGAATCAATAGCTATCTCATAGCTGCAGAACATGTTGGATTGTACTTGTTAGGTTTGGCTGATCCACATGTCACTTTTCTGTGTCGGTGCCTGCTTGTGTGTGTGTGGTGGAGAGTTTGTGTGAGTCTCTGGTGCGTGCATGTGTGCATACGGCTGCACTCTAAGTATTGATTTCTTCAATGCAGTAAGAAGAAAACAAAGTACAGTAACTACATTTAAACAACAGTGTATTTTCAAATGCATCATTACATAGGTCTAACAGGGAAGTATCCAAAAGCTCACATGCAGCAGAAAAAACAGCAACAACAACAAATGCATTTAAAAAACAAACAGCAACAGCAATCAGCTTGCCCTGAAAGCATTTTACCCTAAGAATCTAAATCATGCTTTGTGGTTGACTGGTGGCATATTTCAGACACAAAGTGCACTGGCATTGACCCCGAGGTTGAATTCGGCTAACACAACTGAGTTTGCACAAAGGCCCAACATTATTGGCTCAGTCACAAGTCAGCCAGGGCACAGATAGGATGCAGAACCAACCAATGCACCTGTCCCTGCAAGAGCAAATAACATTCACACTGTGCACTGGCTGTCCAAACACAGCCTTTCCCCCAAGGTGTTGTACATGAAGAATGGGTCATATTTAGAGTCATATTAAAAAGGCTGGCTGTACAGGGTCAGGAATGGGCCACAAGGTTTAGAATGCCAGGCGGCTGCTATCACATACCGTGGATGTGATAAGTTAAGAATAAGCTCATGTTTGCTGAACACTTGACACGGGAGCCTTTTCGCTCCCTTGTCAGCGACACTTGGCTTGAGTTCAGCCACAGGACAGTGGGTTAAAATGTCCAAGATTGTGCACATGTTGCATGCACGAGTAAAAAGACCATCTATACTATACAAAAACAGACTTTTTTTTTATAAGACTCTTGCAGAGAAGTTTCAGTGCATGTGTCTGCTCACATTTATGCATATTGCTTTCACGGCAGCATTCTGACAATGGCTGTACTGCAGAAAAGAATGATTAACTTTCTTCAGGGTGTCTGTTATTTTTCTCAGAAGTGGGAGGGCTCAATTTCTTGAACTTATCTTAAACGTTGTTTTCACTTTTCATAGTCCTCACATAATTCACATCATGGAAAGTGTGTTTGTAAAATAAGCTATCTCTATTCAATATTGACCAAGATATCTGCTGCAGACTAATGGCTGATGATGTCACTTGGTGTACTACTACCACCAGGACTGAATTTATCCTGAGGGGAATGCAAATGTCTGTATTTAATTTCATGGCAAATTTCAGTCTGGACCAAAGGCTCAGTCTGACTGACAGTAAGCCACATCACTAGCATAGCTAAAAAGTCACACTCTGGATAAATATGGGTTTAAACATTTATTCTTATTTCTAGCATATATTTTGTTTGTGTCAATAGGGACACTGAGTATAAGGGGATGCAGCTGTCCTTGGACCAAATGAGCCCCACCAAGCCAGCCTTCCCTTATGCTGACAGTCACGCAGAAGACAGGAAGAGCACCAAGTCACGTCTGACCCAAGCGAAGTCCAAAGCCAGAGTGTCACCCTATCCACAGGTAATAAACAGCCTGTTTTATAGAGCGGAATCAATAAAAGCTTAATTGTTAGAAAAATGTTCAAATCACAAACTCCCAGGACTATGATGTTCTTGTTTCTGTCCAGCCTTTTTCGGCTTTCAACCCAGAGCGTTCAGAGTCAGACCAGGACAGCCAGTGGGGAGGGAGCCCGCTGACAGATTCCGCGTCTCCTCAGCTGTTGGATCCCGGTGAGGCTGCAGAGGCATCTTGTGCCTACCGACTGTATCCAGACCCAAGCTCCCTGTGCTATGGCCTGGGTCTGTCAGATGATGAGCTTGCCCATGCCCAAGCCCAATCTCACACCACCACCTGCGACCGTGTCCGATGCCAGAGCAGCCGTTACTTCCTGGGAACCCCCCAGTCAGGAAGAGAGGTGTGGTGGGATGCCACGCGCTCTGTGCTCTCACTGCCAAAATCTTCTGTAGAGAACAGCGAGGGCTTTGAAATGACATCCTACCATGGAACCATTCACGGTGAGGTGTTAGGGTTGAGACCACAACCATCTGTCTCTGAAAATAGCTCTGGCCTAGCCTCTTCTAGTAGCCGTTTTCCAAATGTTATTATGGAACATGCTAAGTTGTTTATGCTGTTTTATGCCAGTGTGCTGATTGCTACCATCTGTTCAGAAATTGCCTGCAATGAAAAGCCAAGTTACTTCACATCCTCAAACAGTGAAACAGCCCCCACTGTGGTTCTGCCAAAACATCCAGTGTAACAGACCATAATTCTACATGCATTTAAAGTAGAACTGTGTGCATTACACTCAAAAGATGCAGCTCATGTTACAGTGTTTTACACACTGTAAATTTAGACAGAAATGATGAATTTACTTACTAATACAAGGTAATGAATTTGTTTCAAATTTTCTGATATGTGGCCATTGAACTGTTCTTACAGGAAGGGGCCACTGGGACGAGGAAAGTGTAGTGAGTTCACCTGACGGAGGCGGGTCCACCAGTGATTCGGGTGAGCGTTACCATGGTGACCACTTCCGGGCAAGCCCACGAGAGCCCAGCAAGATGGAAACCCTGATCCGCGCCACACAGCAGATGATCAAGGAGGAAGAAAGCCGTCTACAGCAACAAAAGGTGCCGGTGGACATCTCTGGCCTCACTAAGGCCCACAGCCCGTGCTTCACGTCCTCGCTGCCCCACCACTCTCAGCTCACCATGCCAAGCGTGGTGTGCCGTGGCCCAGGAGCCCCCAGCATTGACCTCCCCTCTGAACGCCTCCATCACAGAGATAGCGTCAAAGTGCTTGGCCCCCATGACAATGATGAAAACACCACCAGTCCTGCTTCTATGTCTCGTCTCAGCAGCCCCAGCTCTGACGGGATCCCCAGGTCGGTCCTTCCCCTCACCAAAGACTACCTGCAGACAGATTTGTCTCCGCACTCTTCACAGCCGCAGGGGAACTTGCTGCTCTATCCAAATCAGGAGAGGCAGCCACTGGACAGGCAAGCAGCCTACGCTTTGACTGGATACTCCCTGGAGCACTTGTACGACCCGGAGACCCTGCGGAGTTACTCGGGCCTGGCCTGTGCAGGAGTCCAGTATGATGTGGCATCTCATGTAAGGATGCAAGCTGAGCAGATGCAGGGACACAAGGCCACCTCAGTTATTATAACCAATGGAAGCTGACATATCTGGTGCAGATAGGTCCTGTTCTATAAGTCAGGATGTTACAGTAACTTGGTGCTGTATAAACATGCAACACTGACCAGGTGCTTGATGCAAAAGGCGAGACAATGAAAAAAAAAGTACCTGCACCGGCTGGAAGCGTGTGGCTCGTTCAGCACAATTTCTGTTTGTCAGGCGTTTGTATCATAACATTGCCTTTCTCTATCATCAGAGGATGATTTTCCAAGAAGCAGTATACAAGAAGTGACATTTGGTACACTGCCAGGCACAGGGCCGAGGTTTGCTCCATTACATAGACATATAGTGTTAGTTCAATGGCGGTGAACTAGAGTCCCCTTCCTGCAAAGGCGACCCAAGTCTGGTTAAACATCAAGCTGGTGTTTCTATTCCAAACATCTCACGCATCATAGGCTGTGTGAGTTAATCTGTCTTAGACACAATTTCCAAAGGCACTAAGAGAATGTGTTGTTCCATCGCCCCTTCACCTGAAAACTCCACTGCACAGAGCATAATGTTTGACACATGAAGTGCAACGTTTCACTGTTGTAGTGTTTCCTGGTATTTCTTTGTCAGTGGGCTGTATGTGTCATTTCTTTCTGTCCGAGTAGAGACTTTACCGGTGGCATTAAATTAGTTTTGGTGTTGGATTACGCCTACATTGGATTAAAAAAAAAAATGAAGTGGAAAAACAGAAAGTGAAAAAATGTCTCTGATATGTAAGTGTAAAATATGCAGGTCACATTTAAACTGTTCGGTGTATATGTAAAGCGTCCTCACCTCAAGCACAGAGAGAGATCACAAAGCCAACTCATTTGGAGTCTCCCTGCTGCCTTTGAATACAGGCACTGTACCTATCAGCTTACAACTGTGGTTAGAACAATACTGTTTACATATCAGAGTATCATTTTTCCTGTTTTACCTCACTTAACTTTAATCCATCTTATTAGCATACTGTACGTAGAGTATGCTTTAAAATCCACCTGCAGTTGTTCTCAAAGACAACCATTTGTTTTTGTTTCTTTATTCTGTCATGACAACCTAAAGGGTTAAAACAATTGATACAAACCTATCTAAAGTATGTTAAATGTCTCTAGTTTCTTATTTAATTTAACATGTAAATATCACGCAATGAACTTTTGGACAAGAAGTGACGAGATTATTTATTAATTGGTTAAAAAGTCTTAAATCTGAATACAGTTGCACCAAATAACCTTTGTGTGTTGATTTTGTTGTTAATGTGTCGGTCAAAGCTGTATTTGAATTAACACGCACACACACGTGCCTGTGCAAAGCTACTGTTCAACACATTTAAAATGAACGGATAAACACAGAGCTATAAGTATACATAACAAATGATGAAAGACTTAAACTTCTACATGGCTAAAAGTTTAATTTTGAAAGAAATTATATGATTTTTCCAAAATATCTGCAAAATAGCTGGGTACTGTATTTGTATGAAATGTTGACCAGGAGTAACAAACAGTGCATTCGTTATTTTCAGCCACAGATTCACACACTTTGTGGTGCTGAGGATTGAAGGCAGAATAATGGTCTATTTGAGGACTGACTCAAACTACAGTGACCATTTTCATTAAGGAGCATGTTAGCCAGTTCAACAGTGGCTCAAAGAGTTTTCAGAGCTCTATGGCTTTAGATGCATACACAACTCCTAGTTAAAGACAACAATCGTGTTTTTATGGAACATATTTGTAATAAGAAAACTATTATAAAACATTTTCCTTTTACTTTTTAGATCTACTCACAACAAGGGAATTAAAGTATGACATTATTACATGCATCTAGTACAAGAAACTAATACAAGTCATTAAAACAGCAGATTTCCATGCCTACCAAGCCGTCGCATTTTAAATGCACTTGCAGCAACACGTTCCTGCTGTTTGGAGCAGGCGCACTCGCACATTTAACCGCTCTGACCTCTGCTCAGTGGCAATTTTTCTGCCATGTTTTTTAATGAATGTAAGTTATTCACATGTAGTTGGAGCACTGGCCTGCCTGTCTGTCTGAGGGACCTGGACACAGTCTGGGCCTGGATGCAAAGCTCCAGTCACTGCTGACATGAGCATCTGATAGTCTGCCAGATATCATTACTGCTGTCATTCCAGGAGGGAGAACTACTACACTGGCCTGCTGCTGACATCACTGAGGTTTAGGAGGGATGTGTGTGTGTGTGTTTACTGCTGAGATACTCCAATAATAAGAGGCCTATTTTTTTTTTTCTTCTAAACACTGGGGGTTTTGCCTCGTGTGCCCTGAAGGCTTTCACATGCAGAGCTGGCTCTAAATGTGGCCAAACACTGGGCCTTTTGCCCGGACTTCCCACACTTGCATATACCTCCACACCCACCTCACCCCTCCTCACCCAAAATCTGCCTCAGCTCACTCCGATAGAAAGAAACAGGCTATTATGAAAGCTCTGAGTCAGAAGGAAGCTGTAGAGCTGTGTAGTTTTCTTACAGCTGGAGGAGAAACCGATAATAGCAGTGATAGAACAGCCACACACATCCTTTACTTAGTAAAAGTAGCAATACCACAGTGTAAAAATACTCAATTAGAAGAAAAGCTCCAGCACTGGAAGTGTTTTATGGGATGCTACTTCATAATGTTGGGCTTTTTAATCTAGAACAAACCATCTTATTTTATAAGTTAGTCATACATAAGTTGATCATAAATCTGAGCACATGGTTTGGTAAATTTTGAAAATAAAAGTATAAAGTGTGCTTTGAAAATAATACAAAGTAAATAAATGTGTTACCTGGAATAAAAAGTACAATATTCTGCTCTGGAAATGCAATAGAGTACAAGCAAAAAGTCATAATTAGGAATATCAAAGCAAGCGATACCATGCCTCAAAAATGTACTTTAGTATATTTAAAGTATCTTTTAATTTGCATCACTGCTACTGCATATTGTGAAAACAAAATTTTGCTGAACTTGTACTGCATATATTATTACATTGAGTTTTTTTAGGAGTAAATCATGACGTTAATGGAGGACAAGAAGCATTAGAAATGGAATCAAGTCACTCCAGGATAAAACAAAGGATGGTATGATGCCATTGCATGAACAGATGTGTGAATCGGTTTTTTTACACTGAATAAACCACAGCAGTGCAAAATCACACTCTTGCAGGTAATACTATACTACTGCAAATAAAAAGTGTGAATCAACTTTGTTTCCACCATAAGGCATTAGCAGCTAGTGGACATAAAGATGCTGCTTCTGTGCGAAAAACTATAGAATCCAGGGTTTCACAACTGCAGTGAAGAAAAAATGGATTTCAACTTTACAAATGAGCACAGAACATGAGGGTACAGGTGGTGCAGCTCAGAATAGCCCCTGAATGTCTACTTGATTGATTTCAGGCCTAGTTTTGAGGCACAATTGCATATTCATACATCAATTAAAGCGTTCCTCAGTTAGTACCTCTGTAATTCAATCTGGCGCTTGGTGAGAATCCTTATGAAGCAGCTTCAGACCAATGCAGAGAAAAATGTTTCAACATGTTTTCCGTTCACGTGTACTTTATGACCTCTTTGAGTGTGAACAGAGATTTTATAATGATATAATTCCTTTCCATCTCAGGAATCACTGTTTTTTTTTTATTTCTCAAAATATTCAACTTGGGAACAGGGCTTCCACAGAGTTTGCTCCAAAACAAAACTGCATGGTTTGTGCAGCAGTACTTTCCCATGCTTCAATAAAACTGTGTACTTGTGGTGTCATGTCACCTACAAATGAGTCAACCAAAAGCAAAACAGCTCAAGACCTGGGAAAATCATTCAACCAAGGCTCTTAGCGACGCTTCTGCTGCAGACCTCATTGCACCAGAACAAATTTAAATGTTCTGATCGGCTGGACCAGGATATTGAGGTCATCTGGTCGATGAGCCAGGAGACTGAGGTTGTTTTGGAAAGTAGGGAGGAAATAAGATTTCTCTTTGAGTCGCAGGGCTTGAGACAAGAATTCTGTTCATAAAATATACTGTTAATTACAGGCAGTGCAAAAAATCATTACTGTACTTTAAAACATTACAATGCAATTTCATAACTATTCACCTATTTGAACTATAATTAAAGAATAAAGCTGGTGATACTTTATATACAGCAGAGAAGTTTAAGCGGAACTTGACTGGAGTCCACCTGCGGCAAACTGAATTTATCTGGCATAATAACATGGTGGCCTCAATAATTGTGAAAAGGAAGAAGTTTGGACTCTTCCTGGGTATGAGGGGCCTTGATCCGGGAGGTGACCAAGAACCCAACAGTCACACTAACAGAGCTTCAGAAGTCTTCTGCAGGGATAGGAGTTGGGCCTTCGTGGTAGAGTGGCTGGTTAGAAGACACCAAGAGGATGAGGAAGAAGATTCTCTGGCCAGACGAGACAAAACTGAACTCTTCTAGCAGAACTCCAAACACTGTGTCTGGTGAACACTATGCAGTGCTCATCTCCTGGTGAAAAGCATCCCTATGGTGAAGCATGGTGGTGACAACATCATGCAATGGTGAGGGAGACAGGTCAGAACTGAGGAAAGGATGAATGCAGTCAAATCCAGATAAGTCTGCGAAGAAAACCTGCTCCAGAGTGCATACAACCTGAGACCGAGAGACAGCTCACCTTTCAGCATGACAGCGAGCCAAAACAGACAGCCAAGGCAATGCTGGAGTGACTCTAGGCCAACTTTTATTCAATACTTTGTGACTTCCCTGGCATAACAGAGGCTTTAACCTCTTAGGAAAGATATTTACATAGGTTTTACAGCTCATTTCTTGGCACTAAACAGTGAAATAAATTACACGTTTTTTTTATTTAGCAAGCAGTTGAACTTAGGTTTTGCTCCAGAAAAAAAAAGAATGAAAATGGCATTGCTGGAAGTTGAATGTTTGGTCTCATATAATATGCATTTTAAGGCATGCTTGTTGAGATAACAGAAATTTATACAAACACCCTTTGATTTACCACCAGAAACTGATCAGTGACGCAGAAGAAATTAAGGCTTATATTTTAGAGCTAAAGCAGGTTGAAAATTGCCCAATTGAGATGGTGTTAGCCTTGAGAACAAGTTTGTGGGTGTTTCTAAATCACAATTATCTTTCTGGGATGCCAGAGGAGAGTGTTAGGGACACTTTAAAGCTTTTAGGTCCTACTGTTCTTCAAGTACTGAATGAAATGAAAGAGGATTTGGCTGGCAGAAAACGGTGTGACTGCACTTTGAAATATATTTGTTGGTTTCTTCAAATTTAATATTGCAGTTGCAATAAACTTATACTGAGTACACACATGTGCAGTACAGGCATCAGGTCCTTATAAGTAGAAGTTGATACGCTGCTAAACTGAACAACTGCTGTGACATAACATTTTTTCACGCCTTGTGGTAAGTTCCTACTGAACCTTTATTTGCACATGTACAACTTTTTTTTTTAATTAAAAATAAAACCCTCACACCGGTTTTGACCTAAACCACCTAAACCTTTACACCACATAGATTAAATCCCACAAATTTAGAAATGAAATATTTGTAAGTTTCCTTCACAGAAATCTTGTTTAAAACCAATATCCCACCAAATGCATGATCATTTTTATAAAACCATAACAAAGACCCCTTAATTTAAAACTCGCTAATCCTTCAGCAATAAGGCTATTAAAAAAAGACTACAAGTACAATATCCTAAGTCCTTGTCACACACACACACACACACACACACACACTCACACACACACACACACACACACCACCGCCACCAAGGCTCAAACAGTGTGAATCTAATGCCCTCCAATCCTGTGAATCCCTTTGTTCCCGATTTCACGCTTGATTTGCCCACAGCCTGAGTCTGGCTGGTATCAGCGCTCTTCTCTTTGCTTTCACTCCTGCCAAATCCACAGAGCCACACAGAATCCATGTCTGCTCTCTAGCTGCTCTCGTGTGCCATTGTTTGTTCCAACATCTTCGCGAAATGCTCTCTGAAACATGCCAAGGAGCTGCATTTGTTTATTTGCATCTCAGTCCCCCCTTACTATAAACATGTCATCAGTCTGCCAAGACCAGATCCAGAGTGCACTGTCTTTTTGTATTTCACAGGCTTTATATTGTTGTTTAAAATAA